ATTTTTTGTAAAAATTATGATTTTGGGGAAAACTTTGGCACACCCCGGGACCCATCCTCCACCGCCTAATCGTCAAACTGACATGCTACGCGCCAAAGGCTTGGCTTGGATATAGGTCCAAGCCATAAAGTATTTTGTACCTCCACAAATCTATTCTTGCTAAGCTTACACCCACAATCAAACCAATGGAGGTTGTTCTTTAGAAGGATAATGACAACCTTCACGATTTCACGATACAAAGTGTTTGAGGCCAACGAGGGAGTGAGTCACATGTAAAGTGAATGAGTACATACCGTCTGTGATCAATCACTCGAGGACCCCTTCATTGGTTTAGAGGTCTAGTAAACCCTGGAAAAAAGCTGACACCACCAAAGATGCCGACCATGTCAAAAAATGATCTGTTACATAGAATTCAACCACCTGTTTACTTCAATACCAAGTCAGAAACTCATTCATTTTGACCAACTGTAGTGTAGATACATTAGGAACTGTGATTGACTGGCAGAAATTAACCTGATTATAGCCAATCAAATTGGGCTGACTTCATTGACTTCGCACAAATCGCAATCGCGCTGAGTATGCATATTTCGAACGCATGGAGGAGCTGAACCCTTGCTTTTCAACTGTGTAACAGAGTTGAGCGCGCTGCGGAAGAATAGAACTGGGCATTTCAATATTTGAAATTGACAGTGCCTCAAATCAACCAATTAGAGACCTCCAATATCATATTCTATATTTGTCTAATCATAGTCAGGCATTGCGTCTGAACCAATCAGAGATCACGAAAGTCGCTCAAGCATATTTATCCAATCATGAACTAACAGTGGTCGATATGATCGATGAGCCGACGGATAATTCAATTACTTGCTGGAGTGCTAAACGACTGGCCGTAAAGCGTATGGTTCTCCCAACATTGATGGTCCCCATATTTCGTGAGGTTGAGTCGGCTCTGGGCACCCAGAACAATCGCCGATGCCAACCAGAATTTTCCATTTATGCACAGTACACAACAAATGTTTTCGACTTGCTGTTCATCGTTCGTTCCACAGTCAACACTACGTCCAGCAAGTGCTGTACCTCGTGCCATCTTGCAACTCCATGCATCGTGCAGAAAGCAGAGATCCGTGACGGCCCTGCGGTATGCTGGACGCTGCCCACACAGAGATGAAGCCTGTCGACCTCTGGAGTGGCCATCAAGTACCCATTCAATTTGTATGGAATTACGTCAAATCGAGGATCGGTCAGCGGGTCGGCATCCACAGGATCGATGGGACCTCCCCTTGTCGCTGTCGTCATCATTTCAGTCCTGGCGACCGCTGGCGCAGCCTTGATTGTATACATTCGCGGACGTGGCAAACGGCTGCAACTGCAGTTCCGAGGTA